CACGCGCGCGCACTCACTCACGCGCGATCGCATAGACGCCTGGTAGCATCACAAAAACGAGCATCATGCATTGTGTTTGCTGATCTGGTTCAAACGGTTGATAGAAACAAGTTTGCACCTCCTGGGCGGCGCGACAGCTGATGGAACGACCCTGCCGCCCGCAACCTAAACGTTGAAAGAGGGCGCGCGCGCGCTGAAATGGGGTGCATCTTTATTCGTTCGAAGGGCCCCAGGAGATGTTACAACAATCAATATCAAAGTCGGGGGCGCGGGGGCACAGCAGTGCCATCCGATTCGCAGCTCGTCCCGGAATGGTGCAAACATTTTTCTTTCAACGGTAGTAGTAGTGGTTGTGGTGGTAGTAGTAGTGATTATAACAGTTATGGAAGTAGCCGTAGAAGTAGTGGAAGTAGTGGAAGTAGTAAAGTAGTATTAGTAGTAGTAGTTGTTGTAGTAGTAGAAGTAGTAGTAGTAGTAGTAGTAGTAGTAGTAGTAGTAGTAGTAATAGTAGTAGTAGTTGTTGTTGTTGCTGTAGTAGTAGTAGTAGTAGTAATAGAAATAGTACGAGTAGTAAAACTAATACGACCTAGTCGAAATAGTAAATGTAGTAATAATAACCGAAGGAAGTGTAGTCGCAGTGGTAATAATGGTACTAGTACTAGTCGTAGAAATACAAAAAATATGTGCATTCGTACTAGTAGCAGCATTCGTATCAATGGTAGCAGTAATGCTACTTGTGAGAGTCGCAGTAGTAGTAGTAGTAGTAGTAGTAGTAGTAGTAGTAGTAGTAGTAGTAGTAGTAGTAAAGGTACTAGTAGTAGTAGAAGGAGTAGTTGTAGTAGTCGGGGCAGTGGTCGTAATAGTAATAGTAATGGTAGTAGTAGTCGTCGTCGTAGTAGTTGCAGTCGCAGAAGTGGTACTAGTAGTAGAAGTTGTAGTAATAATAGTAGTACGAATGGTTTTGTATTAATAATGCGATAAGGGTAGTAGTAGCAGTAATCGTACTAATAGAAGTCGTAGTGGTAGTACTAATAATCGTATCCGTAGACGTCGTCGCAACGGTTTCAGTCGTAGTGGTCGTAGTCGTGGTAGTAATCGTAGTAGTAGTGGTGAAAAATCAGAGTAGTTAGTAGTAGTAGTAGTAGTAGTAGTAGTAGTAGTAGTAGTAGTAGTAGTAGTAGTAGTAGTAGTAGTAGCAATAATAGTATAGTAGTAGCAGCTGTAGTGGTGGTAGTAATGGAAGTAGCGGTGGCGGCAAGAATTTTAGTGTCCACAGTCGTAGTCGGAGTCGCATTGACAGTCGTAGCCGTTGTAACCGTAGTAGTCGTAGTAATAATAGGAATAGCCGAAATAACACTAGCCGTCGTGACAGTAGTAGTAGTAGTAGTAATAATAGAAGTAAGCGAAATAGTAGTGATAATGCAACTGATTGTCGTCGCAGTAGTCGTAATATAGTCGATATACGAATCACTAGCTACGCCCCATCCTTACCTCATCCGCCTCCCCCTTCGGAGTAATAGCAATACTACTGATAGTAATAGTAGTAGTAGTGGTGGTAGTGGTAGTAGTACGAGTATTATAAAATCGTAATGTTGGTCGTAGTACTACTATAAAACTAGTGGCATCAACATGCGTAATCGTAGCCGTAGTAGTGGTAGAAGTCGCCGCATTAATAACATTAGTAGTTGTTCTTGTTCGTTGGTTTCGGACATGTGTTAGCACTCATACGATCAATCGTAATACTAGTCGTAATAATAGGGATACGAATAATCGCGGTAGTAGTAGTTCTAGTAGTAGTATGAGAAGTAGTAGTAGTAGAAGTAGAAGTAGTAGTAGTGGTAGTAGTAGTAGTAGTAGTACTAGCAATAGCCGTAATAGTACTCAGAATCTAAGTGATTATACGAGTGGTAGTACAGACAAATACAATAATCGTCGTCGTCGTAGCAGCAGAAATAATAATAACAAAGGGCGCACGCAACAGATAATGTTGCAGCAGTAATCGCACTAGGATGGCATCAAAAGTAGCAGTAGCTGTAGTAGTAGTAGCCGTAGTATTAGTAGCAGTCGTAGTAGCAGCAGCAGCAGCAGCAGTAGTAGTAGTAGTAGTAGTAGTAGTAGTAGTGGTGGTAAACATAATAATAATAAGAGATAGGTAGTCGTGGCCGTAGTAATAGTAGCAGTGCTAGAAGGTGTTAGTAGTAGTAGTAGTAGTAGTAGTAGTAGTAGTAGTAGTCGTAGTAGTAGTGGTAGTAGTAGTAGTAGTAGTAGTAGTAGTAGTAGTAGTAGTATTAGTCGTAGTAGTCGCAGTAGTAGTAGTAGTAGTAGCAATTGTAGCAGAAGTAGTCGTAGTAGCGGCAGTGATAACAGCAGCCGTGGTAGCAGTAGTAGTAGTAGGAGTAGCAGTAGGCGTAGTGGTAGTTGTAGTAGTACAAATAATAATCGCAGTCATAGTCGCAGCGGAGCTGGCAGTAGCGATAGCAGTACCAATCACAGTCTTAGTAACGGTAGTAGCAGCAGTAGTCGCAGTAGTCGTCGTCGCAGCCGTAGCTGTAATCGTAGTGATCGCACTAGTAGTAGTAGTAGTAGTAGTAGTAGTAGTAGTAGTAGCAGCAGCAGCAGTAGCACTAGTCGTCGTAGTAGCAGTAGCAGTAGTAGTACGAGTAAGAATAGCAAAAGCAAGAGCACTTGTCGTAGTAGTAGTAGTAGTAGTCGTAGTAGTAGTAGTAGTAGTCGTAGTAGTAGTAGTAGTAGCAGTAGTGGTAGTAGTAGTAGTAGTAGTAGTAGTAGTAGTAGTAGTAGTAGTAGTAACAAGAAGCTGTAGTAGCACACGTAGCAGTAGTAGTAGTAGTAGTAGTAGTAGTAGTAGTAGTAGTAGTAGTAGTAGTAGTAGTAGTAGTAGTGGTAGTAGTAGTAGTAGTCGTAGACGTAGTCGTAGCAGCCGTAGTAGTGGTAATAGTAGTCGGTAGTAGTAGTAGTAGTAGTAGTAGTAGTAGCAGTAGTAGTAGTAGTAGTAGCAGTAGTAGTAGTAGTAGCAGTAGTAGTAGTAGTGTAGTAGTAGTAGTAGTCGTAGTAGTAGTAGTAGTAGTAGTAGTAGTAGTAGTAGTAGTAGAAGTAGTAGTAGTAGTAGTAGTAGACGTAGTGGTTGTGGTCATAGTACTCGCAGTAGTCGTCGCACTAATAATAACAGGGGCGCTGGCAGTAGCAATAGCAGTAGCAATAACAGTCTTAGTAGCGGTAGTAGTACTCGAGGAGGATCAGAAGGAGGAGGACGGGGCGGAGCTTATTTCCCGCCGAGAGAAGCAGGGGTGGGTGGGACCCGAAACTAAAGACTTCCCGAGGTTATGTAATTGGAGGGCGGTGTGAGTGAGCGAGACGGCTTGCGCCTTGTAAGCAGGAGGTGCCCTGACCACTCCCGCATCCCCCTTCCCCCTGGGTCTGGAGGGGAGAGGCCTGCTCAGGCTGGCTCCTGCGCGGGGCCCTGGCTCAGGGGCTCGCGACATCGTGGTCGCTCATGGATCGCGCGTTTTTTTTTTTTTTTTTTTTTTTTGTTTTTTATCATTTCTGCTCAGTTCCATCTGCTGCTCGCAGTGTACACTACCTCTGTTGTTTTTGCAGGTCGTCATCAAAGGTTTGCTCGGGAGCCCGCGCGCGACGTCGTGGTCGCTCATGGGTCGCGTGGTACGTCGTCAGTTTAGTTGGAAAAAAAAAGCAACCATCGATTCCAGCAGGGGGGGGGAATAGGCCAGCGCCCATATATATATATATATATATATATATATATATATATACTATGTGTGTGCGTGTGTGTCCCAAGGCTTCTTCAAATATGGCGGCTTCTGCACGCCTGGCGGCGCAACGGAGCGCGCAGCTGCCCAGGGTGCCGGACCGGGCGCTGCTGGTCCGGGCGCCCGCGGCTGCGCGCAGCGCCCAAGCTGGCGAGTCGAGAAAGCATGGCCCTGGGCCCCTTGGAGCCCAGCGGCTGCCCTCGAACTTCTCCGAGGGAGCGCATGAGGCTTCGTGGGGCAACGCTGGGGGGGACGGGCCCAAGTGGGGACGCATCGAGACCCCATCGCCCATTCGTCGCCGACCGGGGCCTGGTGGCCTCGCTCTCCGCCGAGGGAGCTCCGGAAGCGCCATCGGGCGCTCGTCGCCGATCTGGCGGCGAGGTGTTGCCGATTCCAGGTCGAGGATGCCCCCGCCTGAGCCAGCCCCCCTACAGTCGGGGCGCTGAAGAAGGAACCCTTCTCGTTGGGGACGGGCTCGGTGTTCCTTGATTGTTCTACAGCTTGCCTTAAGTTTTCGTGAGGTTTTCCATGGGAGATCGAAGTGTAACTTCTGGGAAAAAGGGGCCTCGTTCCTTGTTTAGGGTTCCTTAGGTCAACGCCCCGACTGTATCGTATCGTTGTCCCCAAGGCTGCTCGAGTCTGCGACCGCTTGCGAGCCCTGCCCTTCCGGTTCCAATTGGCGCCGGGGTATCGGACGCCCCGGTTGGGATTCACTGGAGTGCAGGCGCCCCGCAAATCTGAAGCCCAGCTAGTTTTCCAGGCATTTGACCTGCAGGCTTAGGGCTCACATGAGATTGCGTGTCAGCGTCTCTCCTGGCTTGCCTGGCCATTTCTTGATTCGCGCAGCGAGGACCAGGCTCACGTCGTTGACAGGGCTCGTGCACAGCGCTCGTTGCGCTGTAGTCGAACTGGGCGCGCGCAACTGTGAGGCGTCATTTGGACTGCCGTGGGGACAAGAAAAAGGAACAATATTGCTCGAGGCCTTCCGTTTGTGGAGACTTTCTGGGGCCCACCCAACGGATCTGCCCGATTTCAGTGCGCTTCCAGCCCGACTCCAGCGCAATTGTAGCTCGACCATTTCGAGATCAATGGGGGTCGGCGGACGCATCGGTGCATTCATGAAACAAGTTGCTCCAGGAAGGTCCCTCCCGATGACGTTCATCCGATCCTCCAATTCCCTGCCCGCGCCGCGGTGCCCCGCAAGCGCGCGGCAAGGCGTCCTGGACACTGGGACGTCCCACATTGCCGTCCCCGCGCCCCACCAGGAGCGCTCCTTTTCCTGCTGTGGCAGCGTCACGGCGGACTGACAGGGGGGGGACAGCATGGGCTCCCAGTGGCTCGGTACTTCACGTACGTGGATCTGGCGCTCACGAGGTCGATCCTTCCAAACCAGATGATTGTGTTCCTTGCCTTGTGATTCGCGACCCATGTTCGTCGCCTTCCTGGGAACCATGCCCTCGGAAGTGGGTCTCTTGTTTTCTCGCGTGTCCTCGATCGTGGGCGGAAGCATTTTTGGGTGTCCGCGGCCTCGCGGGCTGGGCCCTGGGCCGTGACCCCGCTGATACGGGGTCTAGCGGATGCCCCACGCGGGACGTATCCGTGCGACCGCGTATTCGCCGGATCGCGCCCCTTAGTCCAGACCGCGAGGGCGCAGATACGGACATGCTCGCCGTTCCTGATTCGATCGCAATCCAATGGACATCGGCGGCGAGCGAGGGGGAAGTGAAACGGAAAAGGCCTTCTCAGAATGCGGCGGGACTTCCTCAGAAACCCTCGCACCGCCTGAGAAGTTTCCCATGTCTTCGGGGAAGGCTTAGGACATTTGTCAGAAGACAACGGGATTTCCGAGCCTTCTGGGAAGGCCCGCCCTTTTGCACTCCCCGCAGTGTCGCCGCCGATTATGCGATCGTTTTCTTCTGTATTTGTTTGCCGATCGGCGCGGGCCCTCGCACCCCCCTTCCCCCCCCCCTCGTGGAGTAGATCTTGGGTGCTTCTGGCGCCTGTTCCAGGCAGGTGGAGGCTCCTCCATGGGACGCACTGCTGCAAACCGTGGCATTCAGCAGAGGTCCAGAGCCAGACCCCGCCCCGCCCCCCCTCTTCCGCCCAATGTCTCACCACCCACCAAACCACCCCAACCCAACCCGAAGGCTCAGATTTACCCTCGATTTCTAGTGGGGGGGGGGTCCGGGAACATCGAAAAAACACGTATGGAGCCCATACCCCCCCCAACCCGAAATTCGGGTCTTCGGGTTGGGTTGGGGTGGTCTGGTAGGTGAATAAGAAGGCGTCCGCCATCGCCGACCGGGGATCCCGGGGACAGGGCGGGGGTCGTCGTGCTCGTCGTCCTCCTCCCGTCGCCTCCGACTGGGGGGCCCGGCCCCCCGCCTAATTGCGGTAGGTTTGCGTCGTGTCGACCAGCGGCGACCCCAGCGCGGGCGTTCAAGGTTGAACGCCGCCGGCGACCCAGAATCGATCGATGTTGAACGATCGGACGTTGCGGCAGCGGCCGATCGTTCAAGGTTGAACGATCCCTGCGGTGTCAAAAACCAACGCGGAGGTCGGCACGACACGAACCTGCCGTACCCGTAAGGCGGGCCTGTCCCGAATATTCCAAAATGATCCAAAATAGTCTGGGGACGATTTTCGGATCATTCGTTTGACTATTCTTGGAGTATTGGTTGATTTCTCTATGTCTCCTTTAATAGCCGCCTGTAGGGGGACAGGCCCGACCTAAGCCCACCCCCTGGCTCAGAGCTGCTCTCTCGGCGGCGCAGCGTTGATGGCAGGCCACTGCGCTGTAGTGGTTCGGCTTGCAACAGCTGCTCAGGGGAGGAGGAGGCACCCGTGCCGCCTCCCTTTCCGCGCTTCCGGGGTGCTGGGCCCCCTCGTGAGGCCTCCTCGTCGCCACCGCTGGATTCGCCTCGAAATGCTGGCCAGAATGCGCCCTGGGAGTGGCCTGGGGAGTAGCGGTGTATGGGTACCTCTTGGCTTCCCCACGCAGCAGGGCGGGCTGCAGCCCATCTGCAAGGCGCTCGTGGGCTGCAAGTCTGTCTGCCCGCTCTCCGCGTCTGAAAACGTCGCGGGCCCAGCTCGGCAGCTGGGCGGACCTGCAACCCCTACACGTTGACCTCCCCCCCGAGCCAGTCCCCCCAGCGGGGTCCATTTCGACTCTGTCGGTGCGCTTCGGTTCGTTCTCGTGAGCTTCGATTTTGATTCGGTTCGACTCCGAATTCCAGCTCCGGTTTGGGTTGTGTAGGCCTCGACTCGGGCCGCCAGGCGTCGATTTCGATGAATCTCCATCGATTCGACGTGTTTCGATTGCCGACTCGATTTGCCGATTCGAGCACGGGCCATTTTTCCTCCGATCGTGCGGTGTCTCCCGACCATACTGTGGTGCTGGGTCCTCGTTTTGAGGAGACAGCGCCCTGCATCACCTCGCCTCACTCCCGCCCCTCTCATCCTCCTCCCAGCCCTGCCTCTGCCCTCCGCATGCCCATGTCGGTGCACCCTTCGCACGTGTCGTGGCCCCACGGGGAGCTCCTGGCGGTTCTTTCTCTTGCTTGTGGCTCCTGCATGGGGCCCGTACTTGTGCCCCAGGGCCGCCAAGCATGGAACCAGCACGAAGACAACCCCCGGGAGGCAGGTTCGGGACTCCTGGTCGAAGAAGACCAGACAGAACCTTTCGGAGCTCTGCGTGGATCTCTTGGGCCTGCGCTGGACCCCCCTGGCGGCGCCTGCGCAGCCGCTCCCCGGTGCGCTCCGCGTGCCAGGGAGGAGGGGGCCTCGCGCCGAGCC